ATCCGATATACTCCTGCAGTGGTGAGGGGGTCCCTTCTGTCCTTTGCTGACCATAAAATTTATTGTATTTTTGTGATGGGCTTGAATACTGTTTGTAGGTTGTGTTTTTTCAAAAGTTTCCCCATGCGGTCCGTGACCCCTTTGATGTATGGCACAAATACTTTATTTGTGGGTGGCTGTTTTTCTTCTTCAGTTTGGTGTTGTTTTCTTGGTTTGATGGCTCTTGTGATTTCATTTTTGGAGTAGCCATTTGCCTGTAGGGCCCAGTTCAGATGGTTGAGTTTAGGTATGGTTGAGAATTCAGTTCCACGACAGGGCTTGGACTCAATAGGGTCACTTCCAGCTCTGCAATTCTATGATGATGCTGATGACAACAAAGATTTTTTGCGAACTTGGGCTGGAAAGCCACCTGGAATCCACAAAGTCAGAATGGACTGTGTTTTAACAATCAATGTTCTAAGCAGACACACTCTATGTGGGTAACTTCATTTGGTAAAAAACATGGTGCTTCCACCAGGGATAGATCCCAGGAGAGTGGATAGTATGGCACCTACTGTACACCCACTACACCAATTGCTGTTCTGTTTTGGGGCCCAGTTTTGAAGTTTTCGAGTTTGTCATTAAAGCTCTTGTTTGTTTTAGACCAGCTTACTTGACAGCCTGTCTTCCTCCTCCTAACCTGCCTGACTTAAGTCAGTACTGGCAGCCCTGGTGACGTGTTTTTCTGAAAGGACAATTCTAAGAAAATGAGAGAGGGAGAATAGCTCCATTTCCCTTAACTTTCTGACAGGCTAGATAACCAAAGAAATATTAAAACACATTGAAGTGAAGCAGCAGCAGGATGATGATGCTCTGGGGCGTGAAGTGTCATCCTCATTCTTCTTAAAAGCGATGTTACCAAGTTTGAAGTATTAGTTGAGGTTTATCTGGGTGGGAGGAGTTCCCTGCAGCTAGATGGTTTTCTGATTCGAAGTAGAGCAACCTCCCTTTCCTTCCGGGTATAAATTGCAGCAGGAAAAAATTGAGGGGCCAGAGAAGAAGAGGAAGTCTGTGCTTTTTCTACAAACGCTTCAACTGGGCAGTTCTTCGCTTTATCTCAAACAGGTCAGTTTCTGGCAGCCAGCTGTCATTGCAAAAGCATGTTTTCCTTAATTTGTGAATTAGGCTATAGGCATAATATTTTGTAAGAATTTACGTGATGGAGCCAAGGGGGAAACCTTTGTTTGTTTTGCAATTTGGGCATCAAGCTGAAATTCATTAGACAATCCCGCCCACCCCTTTCTGTAACTTTCATCCAAAACTCCTGTCTTCCTTCTCTGCTCCTCATCCAGTTATTAAACGGTGCAGTTGTCCTGCCAGGAGAACCTTGGCAATCTTAAAAGCAGGAGGGAAATAAAAAAAAACAGAAAGAAAATCAAGGAAGCTGCCCTGCGTGCTAAGGAGCAACTTAGGGGTTTCATAAGAAATGTCTCAATCCAAAAATGTAATTAAATAATGAGGAGGATTGAAAGTATCTTAAATAATTCGCTTGGAAGAGAAGGGCATAAAACCCACTGGGTATCATTGAAATTGGTATTAAATAGGTACAAAACTCAGTGGGGATAACTGAAATTTGGCACATTGTTAGCTGACTAGTAAAACCAGCCATCCAGGTTTGTTCTCATGCACCTCAATGGCAGCTGGTTTGTGGTGATCATCAGAGAGTTAAACTTTTCATGGAAGAAGTGTTACACTCTTAGGACCTTCTTGATGTAAACCATTAGCAATGGGAGGAAGGGACAGAGTTTTCACCACAATTTAGTACAATGAATTTTTTGATGTCAGGCTCCTCTGTGTAAGCAAAATATTTTCCTTTTTTAAAGCAAATGACCTTCAAGGCTGAAGAAGTAGATTGATTGCTAATATTTATGATGGGTCAGATAATCTGAGGCAGGCCAGCCAAGTGATGTATCCTCACTTCCAAAGCCCCACCTCTCTGTAGAAAAGCAGGGACTTTGGATCTATTAATCTCAATCAACCTCCACCTGAAATGGCCCATTTTGGAACTCACAACTGAGAGGCACACCAATAACAATGGATGCATGATGATGAAAGCCATGTGTGGCTCCATCCCAGATCTAAAGCGTTCGCATTCTGATCTTCACAGGCTTTAGTCATGTGGCTCTACTTGGCTGCCCTGTTGGGGCTTTACTTCCTTCGCCGATGGTACCGGGAGAGACAGACTGTGGAGAAACTGACAGAGAAATATGTCTTCATCACCGGCTGTGACTCTGGCTTCGGAAACCTGCTCGCCAGGCAGCTGGACACCCGGGGGATGCAGGTGTTGGCTGCCTGTCTCACTCAGAAAGGGGCAGAGGAGCTTGAGAAGGCCACCTCAGGGAGACTGAAAACCACCATTTTGGATGTCACCTCCACGGAGAGCGTTGCCACAGCCATGGAGTGGGTGAAAGGATGTGTTGGGGACAAAGGTGACAGGCTCTCAATGTTTGTTGTGTTCTGTCTATTGTTGAGAATTTTGATTATAACATGTATTCTCATAACATCAGTAGAGTAAGGAGATATGGGTTAGCAGTGATATTTATGACACTCTGACACAGAGAGTAAAAACAACAACTTAGTCTATTTACATATATACATAGACATTCCTTTGTCAGCATAACATGACATGAAGCAACACACAGCATAGGAAAAAGTGATCTGACTTAACAGCAGATAGACGCTCATTTTACACATGACTTATGTACAGCTCTGTGACCAATCAGAAAATACAGTGGTGCCTCGCATTACGACGTTAATTCGTTCCAGCGAAATCGCTGCTGAATGAAAACGTCGCAATGTGATATTAAAAAGCCCATAGAAACGCATTGAAACCCTTTCAATGTGTTCCTATGGGCTTAAAACTCACCGTTGAGCGAAGATCCTCCATAGCGCCGCCATTTTCGCTGCCTCTAAAGTGAGGAATCCATCCCAGAAAACAGCAGGCGGCCATTTTGTTTACCCGGCGGCCATTTTGAAACCGCCGATCAGCTGTGCGAAAATGGGGGGTTTGCAATGATTGCTTCCCTGCGATCATCACAAAGCGAAAATACCCCATAGGGAACATCGCACAGCAATCGCTTTTGTGATTGCAAAAACAGCATCGCTAAGCTATTTCATCGCTAAACGCAGCGATCGCTAAGCGAGGCACCACTGTACATTGCTTCATTTTCTGTTACACAAAGTTTCATCATGTACACAGCTGTACAACATTGTCTTAATCCTTGATACCCACACCTGAATACAATCACTACAGTGGTAAAGGTAAAATAAGCCATTTTACATTTAACTATATAACATTAATATTTAATACATTTTCATATCAAAATCTCAACATCTATGCAGTGTCTGCATGTGAGCAACATGATTAGCCTTGTTGCATGTTGTATCATAAATGCCAAGTTGTGCAACAGCACCACAATTTTGTTACCGACAGACCACTACAGCATTCATGCTTCACAACCTCAAAATCCTAGCTTGTCCAATTCACGTAAAGCCTATGCCAAAGCCTGGCTGTGATTTTGTTGCATTTTGTACCATGAACCCTGACATTAGCACATGCCTTAGATGTGGTAGATTACACTAATGCACCACAATAGATATATCAGGTACCAGTTGCATGTGATGCTTCCAATCCAAATTCAAGGGTTGTGCTACAAAACCATACAAAGTTACAACAAACTTTCTACATAGGATGGGGAAGCAGTGTCCTTAAGACAGCGTAGCTTGCACCCCTGCATCTGATTCCTAGTTAAAGTTTAAATGGCTGGCAATCTGATCTCATGATGCATAATATGGCCTAGAGTGGAAGAGAAGAACAGAAAAACATGGGAAGAGAATCTTAAGAAACAAACAGAAAGTCTTCCTAATACCATGTAAGGAAAACAGTGGCATGGATAGATATAATAGCGGGCAGTTGGATTCCATAACTGACAGTTTGAAACACAAACCATTTCAATCTCTCTGTTCCAACAAACGGAAGCCGCGGATCTTCAGATTTCCAAATGACAGTTCTGATGTGAGATTTGGACCAGATCTAGATTCGAAGTGCCGACAGCCAAACCAAATTCAAGGATTGCTTCATAACCCTAGTAAATATCCAAGTCTTAAGATATATGAGAACCACCAGAGATAAGCGGAACCCTAACCATATACATTATTTATCGATACAGGTCTCTGGGGCTTGGTCAATAATGCTGGAGTAGCTTTTGCTACAGCCCCCAATGAATGGCTGAAGAAGGGTGACTTTGAAAATGTGATACATGTCAACCTCTTGGGGGTGATTGACGTAACACTGCACATGCTGCCCCTGGTGAGAAGAGCCAGAGGGAGGGTGGTCAACGTGGCCAGTGTGATGGGGAGACTGGCATCCTTTGGAGGTGGTTACTGCCCATCCAAGTATGGTGTGGAGGCCTTCTCTGACAGTCTGAGGTAAAATATCAGCTCTTTGGTGTTCTCATTTGCTTGGTTAACTGGCATAGTCCCCAAACCAATCCCTGGTTACAGATATAGACCCAACTGTCTTGAGTTACATTATTAACAACAGATGTTGAGAAACATGGCTGCTAGGGATGTGCCATTTGTTCTGTTTAGGACCTCACAGAAGTCCTTCTCAAGAAATTTTCTTGATACAGATCTCTTGGGATTGGTCAACAACGCTGCTATGGGTACTGCTCTAACTCTCAACAAATGGCTGGCCAAGGAGGAATTTGAAAACGTGATACATGTCAACCTCTTGGGGGTGATCGATGTACTGCTGCACATGCCACCTCTGTTGAGAAGAGTCAGAGGGAGGGTGGTCAACATGGCCAGTGTGGTAGGAAGACTGGCTCCCTATGGAGCTGGTTACTGCCAATTACGGCATGGAGGTCTTCTCAGATAGTCTGAGGTAAAATACCAGTGCCATGGTTTTTCCCTTCCTCCCAGTTACGGATAAAGGCCAAGGTGTCTCGAGTTAATAACGCATGAAGGGAAATATGGGGGAATTAGGATGTGCCTTTTGTTTTGTTTTGTTCTCTAGAGATGTGCTTACCAAGAAACTGTCATACCGAGCAAGCACTGCTGCAGAAAATGAAGGCCTAGAATGCACAAGTGTGTGCCACAACGTTTCACTGTCCTGATGCATCACCTACCCTTTGGACAAGAGTTTCTTGTTAGACAGAATATGGAAAAATAGAATGGTTTCTAATTAGCAAACATGTTAGTCAAGGGCACGTTTTATCTCCTTCACTGGTCAATTCTTTATGCAGAACATATCCTATGAAATGCTGGATTAGACACATGTGAAGGAGCCATGAAAACTGGTGTAAAAACATGTCATTTCAGATGTGAATCATATTACTAGCAGAAAATAGCAATGGTTTGAAGCAACCGCTGATGAAGTGTAAATGAGAAAATGTAGGATTACATCAGAACCTTAAGATGACCAAAATAATGACTGCAGAAGAATTCCATGACTTTGATGTTGACAATGAAGAAATTGAAGTTGCTGAAGATTTTCTATATCTTGGTTTAATCATCAATCAACAGGGTGACTGCAGCCAAGAAATCAGAAGAAAACTGAGGCTTGGAGCAGCAGCTATGAAGAAACTAGAAAAGATTCTTGAGAGTAAAGAGATGATGCTGGCAAACAAGGTTAAGATTATCCACACTGTTTTATTCCCAATGATTGTTGTGAAGAGATAAAAAATTTGGGGAATCTCAAAAATGAAATTCCTCTTCAGGACTTTTCTGTGTGCTTGTGAGGGCATGAGAACATGAACTTTCACCCCCAAGAGATATTCTGTTCCTGTATGTTCTGCCCAGCATCACTTCAAAGAAGGAATAAGATCAAGAGGACTTCAAAGCAGAGTCTAACATCTCAAACTTTATCTTTGTATACCAAAGCAGTGACCAATTGCTTCTATCTGTGGGTTAGGAAACTGGCATGTTTCTTTGAGGTAATGCAGATTTCAAAGCTGTGAGGGATGCATCTAAGAATGATCAAAGCAGATTAAGAGCAATTATGTGAGGTCAGCCAAAGTTTTAATGGACCATTCATTTGTATAAAAGAGAATTGAGAATCTGAGTCTTTGGAAGCTTAGCATAGCTTTAGGAAAGCTGTGCTTTGTTTTCCCAGCATCAGTATTACTTATGAGGATACCTCTGACCATGTAAGAAGTTGTGCTGGGGAACACAGGGAGAGTCTCCCCAGATTTACTCCATTGCTCTGCATAGGCGAGATAGATGGGAGAAATGAGTCTTTATTCTTTTCTGATGTCTTTCCTTTTTACATACTATAATCCTGTATTTACTCTTGTACCTGGAACTGTTTTTCTTATCTTTTCTTTTTTGAACTGAACTTTCTTTTCCTTCCTTTTCTTTCTTTTTAAAATAAACCATGCAAATCCTTTCAACCCCATGTCTGGAAGATAGCTTAGAGGGGAGATCTGGAACTAGCTTCCAGTCCTTAGCCTCAGTCAAGCTATTGAAATGGCTAATGTTGATTTTTATGGGAGTTGACAACAGCGTATCATAGGTTCTGTATTCAACCCCTGGAGCAAACTCTGCCCCATAGGCTGAAGGTGTGTCGGGGATGAAAAGAACCTACCCAGGACTTACATCATTCCCCTTGTTTGCTCCCTTTGGGCACTCCTGCTCTCTCTCTAAAATAACCTAACCAAAGCTGTCATATCTTGGATATATCATGACAAGTGGAAAGTTGCAGGAAAAGAGGAAGACCAAACTTGTGATGAATAAACCCACCCAGATCTACCCGAATCACCCGACATAGCCAGCAGGGGCGGCTGAGGGGTCTGACGCCGAGAGAGGCCCGGAAGGAAAAAACAAGAAACCGGGCCTTCTCGGCGGTGGCTCCTCGGCTGTGGAACGCCCTTCCAACAGAAATTCGGCTGGCACCCTCGCTGGGTGTTTTTAAAAGCCAGTTAAAAACTTGGTTATTCAAGCAGGCCTTCCCTCCAGTCAATTAAGTCTTTCTCTTTGCTATTCCATCTTGGTAATCCTCTCTTTAAATTAATTGTTTTAAATTGAAATTGTAGCTGTAATTTTTATGATTTTATATATTTTTATACTGTTTTGTTTTATTTTGTAAGCCGCCCCGAGTAGACATGGTCTAGAGAGGCGGGGTAAAAATCAAATAAATAAATAAAATAATAAATAAACGCCATAAAGGAAACCAAAGCCTTTAGTTTGTCAGACCTGATCTTGCCCATTATTAACACAATCTTTTGGAGGTTATTAAAAAGTTAAGTCAAAAAGCAAGATGGTGACACATGAAAACAACCATAACAGCAGTATATCAACTACTCTAAGTATAACATAGATGAGTTTACATTCTTTACATAATTTCCTCTAAATTGTCCATTAGCTGATAAGCAACACTTGTAGCACACTTTTCACACCGAATGAATCACTGAATCACTGATAACCCAGCAAGTGTCAGAGAATACTGTAACGAAGAACATGAGAATTTCATAGCTCATAATTTGATCTCAGGTACTAGAGCTATAACTCAATACTGTACTTGTTATCCACTGATAACATGTAACTTCACCTCATACCTCTCCAAATGGATATTTGGAGGATTCAGGATTTCCAATTGCTTTTCACTGGGCATTTCATAGAAATACATAGTTCAACACTTGGACTAAAATGTCTTATAACTGGCTCCCTCTGTTTTTCCCCAAGGGGAACAGCAGCAACAAAGGGAATGTCTGGGCTGCGGCAATGATAGAAAATCTCCTCTACCCTCAGTTTTCCAAGTGCACCAGTCGTCAGTGCTGGTTTTACTGTTCTCTGTAACACCAGCGCAGCCTGGCATAGTTCCGAGGGTAGCTCTCACTTGCCTCCTTATCAAAATATATAATCGCCATACGATGAACATCTATTCTTGTTTTTCAAGTACATGCTCTTGAGAAGCATTTTTGCTATGAAAGAAATTGTGCAGACCCTTCCATTCAACTGAGCAAAGCATTCCCAAACTGAATATTTGTTATCAGGGTCATGTTGTCATTTTAACTTTGGTTCTCCTTTTTCTTCCAACTCAGGCGTGAGCTCTTTCCCTTTGGAGTCCAAGTCAGCATAATTGAGCCTGGTAATTTTTCTACACCTATCGCCCAAAAAATAAGAGAGAGTTTCAAAGCCGCATGGAGCCGGGCACCTTCTGATGCAGGAGCAGCCTACGGGCAGCTGTACTTTGAGGAATGTGAGTTAAGTTTCTGAAAACACTCTTGCGAGCCATGTATCCATTGTGTGGCAAATGGAAGGGACAAGAATTGACCAAATCGCAGTATCCAAGTTCTGCACTCTGCAATCAGGATCAAGAAGCTGCAAAAGAAATTATCTGTGTGCCTCCAAAATAAGGCAGACACATAACATGAAACATACTATTACAGATAAAGGAGCAAATGGTTTGCACTGAATGACCTAAGCCAATTGTTTACTGGTGTTGGTTTTTACCCATAATAGCTGAAATGGCTTGAGGCCTGGTTATCTGAGAACCATCTGTTTCATTATTAGCCTGTCAGGGTATTAAGATCTTCCAATGAGGCCCTCTTGAGATTACCACCAGCTTCTCCTGAGTGTTCCCCATACTGTGGAATACACTCCCTTCAGAGCTGCTTTTAGTTTCCACTCTGCTTTTGAGAAGGGTGGAAAAACAGTATGGTTTTGATTAATATATGATGTTTCACCTGCCTTGCAGTGTTGTTTTGAATTGTACACTTGATTGATTTTAATGTTTTTACTTATACGGTTGCTTTTACAGAGTGCATTGTTAGATTTATAAATTATAAAACTGTCACTATTCAAGGACCTAGAAAACAATGCAGTAATAACTAGAAGCCATCATGGATTTGTCAAGAACAAATCCTGCCAGACTAATCTGACCTCCTTTTTGATTGGGTAACCTCACTAATAGACAGAGGGAATGCTGTAGACACAGTATATCTTGACTTTAGCAAAGCTTTTGACAAAGTGCCCCATGATATCCTGATTAGAAAGCTGACTAGGTGTGGGGTGGATAGATCAAGTGTCAGGTGGATACATAATTGGCTACAGAATCCTACTCAGAGGATGATGGTTAATGGCTCTGAATCGTACTCAGAGGATGATGGTTAATGGTTCCTTCTGTGAGGAGGCAACAAGTGGGGTACCCCAAGGCTCAGTCCTGGATCCACTGCTCTTCAACATTTTTATTAATGACTTAGATGAGGGAGTGCAGGGAATGCTTGTCAAATTTGTGGATGACACAAAATTGGGTGAACTAGATAATACCCTGGAAGATAGAAACAAATTTCAAAATGATCTTGATAGGCTGGAGCACTGAGCTGAAAACAACAGAATTAAATTCAACAAGGATAAATGCAAAGTACTGTACTTTGGAAAAAGAAACCACACAAAGTACTGTACCTCGGAAAAAGAAACCACCTGCACAGTTAGAAGATGGGGGATACCTGGCTCAGCAATACTGCAAGCAAGAAGGATCCTGGAAGTGTCATAGATTACAAGCTGAATATGAGCCAAGAGTGTGATGTGGCTACAAAAAAGGCAAATGCTTTTTTTAGGATGCATTAACAAAAGTATAATTTCCAAATCTTGTGAGGTGCTAGTTCCCCTCTATTCAGCAGTGATAGGCTTCACTGTGAGTATTGTGTCCAGTTCTGGACACCACACTTCAAGAAGGATGCTGACAAATTGGAACAAATTCAGAAGAGGGCAACAAGGATGATCAGAGGGCTGGAAACCATGCCTTATGAGGAAAGACTGAAAGAATTTGGCATGTCTAGCCTTGAGAAACAAAGACAGAGGGATGATAATAGTAACATTTTTCAAATACTTTAAAGGTTGTCATACTGAAGAATTATATTCTTCCCCCCATCTAGTAATCAAACTACATATATAATGATGTTATGGACAGCTGAGTATGGAAATGGCAGTGTCTCTCCTTATAACCAGAATAGGCTACTAGGGGGCTGCTCCATGTTCTGAACTACAACAGCCACTTCCCTGAATACACTGTATTCAAAGGAGAGACTGAACCCCTACTAGGGGGCTGCTCCATGTTCTGAACTATAACAGCCACTTCCCTGAATACATTGTTTCAGGGGTTCAGTCTCTCCTTTGAAAGTTGTGTACAGACCCACATGCTTGTTCCAAAATGGTAGCTGTGCAAGGACCTCTTCAGACATGCCCCATTTCCAAAGTATGAGTGGTAGATGTTACTGAGTTGGCTATCCACCCAGACTCTTCAAGTATCACCCCAGGACAACCTTCCCCAATTTGGAACTTGCCAGCTGCTTTTTGGCTACCATTTCATTCAGCCCTACATCTGGAGTTACTTAATAATAATCATGTGCTTTTAATTCAATTATGCCGGTTTTCAGCTACCACTGTGGGGAGCTAGCAATCAAAAGCATCCAGGGATTTACCTAGCCCTAGTTTAAAATACTGTATTTTTCCATGTATAAGATGCTACTTTTTCCTAAAACCGTTAGACTAAAAATTGAGGGTCGTCTTATACACGGAAGTAAGCCTCGGAGAAACCACATGGTTGCGAAACTGCCCACATCTCTGCAAACTGCTCTGCCTCCAGTCACGAGCAAAACTGCCAATAGCTTGTCTCTGCAAACAGATCTCCTCCAATCACGAGCCTTATGTCAATGACGTAAGCTGATGTGGAGGCAAGCGTATAGGCAATGTAATAGTGACCAGTAAGTGAATGACTTACTCTGCAAAATTCAAACTGAATGTAATCAGTTATGCAAACGAGGCTGAATGAATTGATTTGCTCAGCTAAGTATGATGCATAATATAATACTGGTATGTAAATGTTGCATAATTACTAAAAATGTGTTCCTTTCTAATGTTTAAAATATTGATTTCTGAATTTTGGGTTAGAAAATTGGGGGGCATCTTATAAATAGGGCGTCTTATACACAGAAAAAATACGGTAAATATTTTCAAGGAGTGGTTCTAACTGTTCTTTGCTCCATTTTTTAAAATATACAGTCTGCAGATTACTCCAGGAACTCGGGAACAGAGGCTGCCCCAACCTCCACCTGGTGACTGACAAAATAGAGCACGCCTTGACTTCCTGCCATCCTCGCACTCGCTACTCTGCAGGCTGGGATGCAAAGCTTTTCTACCTCCCTGTCTCTTACCTGCCAACCTCCCTGGCAGACTATGTGCTGACCCGCTCTTTGCCAAGGCCGGCACAGGCTGTGTAGACCATTTCTCCGAAACAGCATCACAACAGCTGAAGCAAGCCAACCATCTACACCAGGGGTCTCAAACTGTGGCCCTCCAGATGTTCTTAGCCTACAGAGAAGCCTTCCGGCACAGGCTGTGTAGATCATTTCTCTGAAACAGCATCACAATAGCTGAAGCAAGCCAACCATCTACACGGAGAGGGACAAACCTCTATTTATGCTTTGTCATATCTTAATGAGATGTGGAGTAAGTCATTAAGCACCTCTAAGGAAAGCTGGATTATTGTTCCTTGAATCAGAACTATTGGCTCACACAATTTAAAGTGCTGTGTTGTATTGACCTCTCTGCACAAGGCCTATTGGACTCAAAGGGACTGACTCTGAGGTAATAAAATACAGTGGAGGCTTACACCGGCAACCACACCTCTGCCCTGTTTGCTACTTATGTGTTGCAGGAGGAGTTTAAACGGATCAGTAATTGAAGAAGGTGCCATTAAATAGACACTGAGTCACATGATTTATGTATTGATCTGTAATTAACAGCCGAATCACTCTTGTTCATGGTTATATTGAAGTATATCTCTTTAAGAACCATCAGTAAATACTTTGCCCCCTTCCACAGTTACATAGTGTAAGATGGGATGGGCAAAGTGTGATTTCCTCAGGTGCTCAAAGGTACTTCCAGAACCCTTGGGCTTCCCCCTGTATCTCATAATTTTTTCAAATTACACTTACATCTCTTCCCCACCCACCCCAAATATCTCTTTGCAGGGAGAATTTTTTTGCTTGGAGGCTGGGGCAGAGGAGGAGTTGCAGCCATTCAAGTTCCTGGGGTGGCCATCCTAGGTGCACCATTGTTTGGGTTTGTGTGTTTTTGAAGTTCAACTTTCAGAATTTTCCAATAATTCCCCGGACAGAATTCTGGGATTTCCAGCTTAGAGATCCACACCTACAAACCCCAACATTTCTCTCACCTGAACCAGGATAAGGCCTTTGAGGCTGTATAGCATTCTAGGCCTCATTACATGCCACAATGCTTCCTGGGTGTGGTAGATCTTGGGGAGGCATCCAGCCTAAAGATCAAGCAACCCAAACACCTCTTCCAGTCTTGGTAGACAAAAAGGGTAGTCATTTAGCATTTTCCCCCAAGGCCCTTTATTGAAACACACTATTTCGCCAGGAAAGGGAATACAAATTTAACACCACCAGAGGTGGGATCTCAAAGCTACACCTGTACCTTGAGACTGCAACCCTTATTTTAAAACACACTTTAAGCAAAGCCCAGCCTGCACATGGGACCATGACTTTTGAAGCTTTTGCAAGGGGTGTGTGTGTCTTTTTGTTTTCAATTTTTCAATTTAATTTTTAATATTTACCGGTACTTACAAAAAAACCAAACAGAAATAGAAGAAAACATTTAATAACCAAACATCTAAAAAAGAGTGCTTCTCCTACCCCACTTGGGAGAAAACACCCCATTTACTCTCCTAGAGTCCAGTCTCCCTCCCAAAATTGTATTGACTCTTGCAATGGGCTTCATCTCTTCTATATTCATACAAAATCTAAAAATTCTCCCCATATATCTATAAATTAATTTTTGCCTGTCTTCCTCTCTTAACTTTTATATTACATGTACAGTAAGCTTATCATTGTATACTGTTTGCAATTCTTAGCAATACAAATGTGAAATAATCAATCACTCAATCTTTATTTTCTGATTGCCGACCCAACTACAAACGGGAAATGAATTCTTTAGTCATTCAGTTACCTTCCTGCTTTTCAAATACTGATAAAAGTGCAATTTTAAGATATACACCTAAGCTGAGCTTCCTTATTTCATTTTATTTCCTTAAAAACTAATAGAAAAATTTCAATACTGTATATTCTCACACTCCCACCATATACGAACATAAGTACCTACTTCCGGGCACTATAAATTACCCTTTTGGTGTATTTAGGAGTTTTCTCTGGATTCTTTCACAAGTATCATCTGGAAGAAGATGCTCAAATTATAAGATCTCATCTGTTCTATTTCTTTGGAATCTAAGAATAACTTACAGAACAGGACCCCCATATCTGCAGGATTGGTGTCTGCAGTTTCACTTGTCTGTGGTTTGCAGCAGTCCTGTATACAACATTAAAGTGTGCTCTCTTATGGCCTTTGTCCCACCCTCTTGTGTGTAGTATTTATGGTTTCCTCATATCCACAGTTTCAGGCATCCACTACAATCATGGAACGGATCCCCTGTGAACATAGTGTAGTGGTTTTTGGAGAGGGCTGCTTCTCTGTTTGGTTTTGCTAAAGATTACCACTTTTTATTTTTCACTGTTAATTACCAGATCAATTTTGCTAACAGTGAAGGAATGATACTTGGTCAGGCTGCATTTAGCAGGCACCAGAACATAAAAAGGAAAAGAAAAAGAATTACAGCAATAGTTTTGTGAGAGCTTTCCTTTACGTTGATAAGGTTGCTTAGCAATTCCTCATCCAGAAGTTATCACTCTATTCTGCAAACCTTGAAAATGCCAAACTGACAGTTTAGTCTTGGCCCCTTAACAGTTTGAAACTGTCCCCTGGATGTCTCTTACCTAAAGAGCACTCCAGATTCTACTTAACAAGCAAAACCATAAAACATAGATAGTGCTTTCTTAAAAAGCTCCTGCTTACAGCAGACTGTTGACAAAGTTATGGACTCTCCTAAGAGTTTTATCTGCCTCCTTTGACTACAGACACACACTGACAAGCACGAGGCACACAAATCATTTCCCTTAGTGTCTGTGTTCCTCTGCCATTACCGTCAGCACCATGATTCAACAGCAAGACATACAGTCCCTTTTACACTGTTGGTCATAAAAGAAAAATCTTCCACTCTGCCAAATTACCAGTGGTCAGAGCTCTTACAAAATGGAGCTAAAAACAGCATGTGGAGCGTCCTACGCAACCAACCAAGTCAGAACAAAGCAAAAACAGTACGCGGAATTATCCCACCGCTGCCACCATGTCAATGATCAGCTCCTCTAAAGGAATGCTTGACCGGTCAGACAAAGAATAATTAGAAGCCTGTGCACCCTCACTCCACTAGGTTGAGTCCTGGTAACCTCAGCCAAGGCCTGTACCAAACCTCTGCTTACGTCTGCCCTAAAAAGATACTTATGCAACCTTAAGAAAACCCAAAACATATGAGCGTTGTAGTCCTTTGATCCACTTAGCTCAATAAGGTACGACTCAGTAGTTTAAATGTGGCCTTGCTTCCCCCTTCAGGGTAATGCTAAGACAGCTATACTGTTCAAGAGACCAACTGATTTTTATAATTATTTTTTTTTATTTTTTTATTTATTTTATTTCTATCCCACCTATCTGGTCATACTAGACCACTCTAGGCGGCTTACAATCAACCCAATAATATAATTTTTAAAAAACATTACAGGTTAGCAAAGACAGAGATCAAAGAAAGTATAAAAAGAAAAAGATCGTCAGGGGTTTTATTGAAAAAATAAAGATTTACAAAATAAAGTCAGTTTGATGCAAAAGCAAGCATAATACTATTTCCAAGGCTTGTTAATTACAAAAGCACTAAAAATCCTAAAAATCTCTAAAAAGCTCTCTTAGGGTGGGCAAGAGGCATAAACCCCTCCCCCTTTCTTCTTTCCTGATCTCCCTACATCTTTCTCAGTCCTTTACCTGCACTGAGCAGCAGGCAAACAGACCTAGAAAAACTAATAGTCCAAAACTGTAGAACAAGGTAAGGGAAAGAAGGAATAGGAATAGGAATATCTGCCATAGTAAAAGTTCCTTTTTCAAGCTTCGCTGGAACCACCCTTCTTCTCCGTCTCTCAAGCTGTCATCCAAATCAAGGCACGAGGTCATGTAAACAGTCCCTCCTTATCTTCTTTCTTCTCTTCTCTGTTGTCTTCTCATGGGAAACAGGTGTTGTTTTTCTTAGTCCATCTGCATCTCCGCCATAACAAGTGTCTGGTCTTCTTATCTAGGAATGTCCTCCTCAGGCCTACAGGAAAACATTCCCACAACTCTCTGGAAAATACACTGTCAGCATGCAAAATCATTTATACAGAGAACCAATATGGAATCCTTTTTACATTGTTCACTACTACATATCCCATCCTCAGTACAAGATTTAAACCACATAAACCAATCCATGACAAAGGCTAAACTTTCTCAACTGCCTGTGCAAACCTAAATGTGTAGTAGAAAGTAGGATCATGTCATCTCCCTATAAAATGTATAGCAGCATGTCCAAAACCATTGGCATATGAAAATTTCAGTTATGCACAGCTGGACCTGCATCATTAATATAAAAATGAAAGAGAAATGGTGCCAGAATGCAGCTCTATCAGACTTCTTTAGCTGTAAATCTTATTTGTTAAAGCATGATTTACACCCATTCTAACTCTCAGAATTGTATTCTTATAAATAGCACTGATCTTCAGGAGTACGTATCTCCCATAAGAGATATCTATCTACTGAATCCACACCAGCATGTAAATTAATGAATGGAGTATATACTAGCCCACATCTTGCATGCATTTTGTTATTAAATGCAACAGAAGCAGTCATCAGTGACATTGCCCTTCCCTGCCTAATTCCTTCCCTTTTTTGGCTCAAATGGAATTTTGCTCTGCCCAATCCTCTGCTTTATGTAAAACAAAGGTTTCATTGATTTTGGCTACAATATCAGTTGAACACTTAGTGTCCTTTATGTCTCTTTTTCTAAACAACGGAATGATTGTGCTGAGCTTCCAACCACTTTGAATGCATCTTGTGTTATTTATGCAAGTAAACAAACTGGTCCATAAGGCAGCTGACCAGTCTATGCTGTCCTTAAAACATTCCAGTGGCATGAAATCCTCTCCTGACACTTTGTTATTCTTAAGTTCAGCATAAGTACCTTAACTACTTGCCTGGTAAACAGGAGGCCATTCAAGGATATTAGTAATATTCCCTAGTGTTTTTGCCATGTAAGATATTCTATCAACTTTCCTCTGCTCCCTGAATAAATCAGAACAAACAAGCAAAAACTTCCCAAAGCGAGGTAAAAATTGGCATCTCGGAATTGTGCTATAGTTCATTTAATCTGCTGACAACTAACTGCCAAAACTGTGCTGGGTGCTTGTTTCCAGCCTCGAGTTCCAAATCTGCCCAACATTTAGCAACATACCGTAACTGGCTTTCTTCACTGTATTCTTCTTATAATGAGCAGAGATGTATAACAACTGCAGTCCAAAGAACTGGACTGCTATGATTTGTATCGTCAGTTGCTTGCTTAATTGCTATGCTACACTCTGCATCAAACCACAGGGATTGTTTATTCCTAGAACCATTCAACGCAACCTAAGGTGACAGTAAAGGTTAAACTTTGGGACAAATCATCTGATGTGGACACAAGATGAGATCAGTGTTTGCCTTGGGAGAACATATACCATTCCCCAAGCCATGTGCTCTATGCAAGGTCAAAAAGAATTTGACCAAAATCCTATGGTGTAACTGCTTGTGTGCAACTCATGTTTCTGCCTGCAGTAATTGCACAATTACTTGTGCAATTACTCCTAAAGCACTTCTGCCAGCATATGGCACAATCAGTCATGCTGGGAATGGACGACTGACCACACAATTGCAGAGCACAATTCCTTGTTGCCAGGTGCAACACCTGGCACATTTATGTTGGCTTGAACTGGATACTGGCATTTGAGACTCATCACATCCACATGCTGCCATCTTAATCTTTTTCTTACACTACTGTATTTTGTAGTTGATTAGACACCCCACCACCACTTTTCTAATCCAAAAATTAAGAAAACTTAGCTTTGAGTATTCAGCCTATGGGCTCAGAACACTCAGACTGTTGAATCTGAGCCTACAGGCTTACCCTCCAATGAGGTGTGTTCCAATTGGTTTGTTCAGCATAGCTGACGTCAGTTCCATAAGGCTCGTGACTGGAAGAAGCTTAGTTTCCTGATTGGAGGCAGCTAAGCTTCATGATTGAAGCCTGTTTATAGAGGCAAGGTATGGGCCATTTTGTTCTCAGCTTATTTCCATGTATAAGACACCCCTCAATTTTTATTGTAATGATTTTAGGAAAAAGTAGCATCATATACACAGAAAAATATAGCACTATCAGAACCCTGTAACATCTGCTTATCTGCCTGAGCAGCTATTCATAATTCATATTCAAGAATTAATCTTCTTTAATATTTGCTAATCCAAGAAAAAAATGCTTTTTGTCTCTTAACACACAGATGTAATTGGTAATACTACCAGCATCATTGGTATAATATATGCAAGGATATAAAATTCTGGGGTCACTGGGGTAAAGAGTCTGTAGTCCAAACATAAGCAGCAATCCCACTGATCTTCACCCAGCTTTATGTTCTTAGTAGGATGGCTATATGTCCACTTCTGGGAGGACAGTCCTCCCTTTGAAGTGCTGTCCATTTTTGTGATGCATGTCCTCTGTTTTGGTGTCATATAAGTGGCCATCCTAAACCCTCTCATCATGAGTTTTCCTGGCTGAGCACGGATTTGAACCCAAGTCTCCCAATTCTGTGTCTATGCACTACATCAGTGGTTCTTAACCTTGGGTTACTCAGATGTTTTTGAACTGCAACTCCCAGAAACCCCAGCCAGCACGGCTGGTGGTGAAGGCTTCTGGGAGTTGCAGTCCAAAAACACCTGAGTAACCCAAGGTTAAGAACCACTGCACTACATCACACTAGCTGTGTTGATACCTCTATAGGGATAGGGATTCAACCTGTGCTAGATGGAGTTACAGTGGGGTCTCTACTTAAGAACGTCCCTACTTAAGAACAATTCCACTTAAGAACAGCTCCATTTGCTAAATTTTGCTTCTACTTGAGAACAAAAATCCAGATAAGAACAGGAAAAAAAAACTTTCCTGCTTTTTTTTTAACCTTAGGTCATCTTAGGTTAAAAAAAAGTTCTCCCCCTAGTGGTAGAGTACGTATTAACCAGCTTTGCATTAGTTCCTATGGGAACTAATGCTTCAATGTACGAACGCACCTCTACATAAAAAAAACAGCCAGAACGGATTAATTGGTTTTCAGTCCATTGCTTCAAAATTAGCTTCGTCAGAAGTGCTTTTAACACTGTTCCCTGACCTAAGGGGAAAAAAAAGAAAAAATCCCCCTCTAGTGGTAGAAGGCAGAATAGCAGCTTCCCATTAGTTTCTATGGACAGAAAAGAGCAGATACGGATTAAATGGTTTTCAATGTATTCCTATGGGAAATGCAGATTCTACATAAGAACTTTTCCACTTGAGAACTACCTTCCAATACGGATTAAGTTCTTAAGTAGAGACTCCACTGTATACTCCCTCTGAAAACACAGATGCAGAGCATGGCAGTACTCCTAGATTTGTCTCTGAGCCTGGATGCCCAGTTTTCAGTGGTGGCCAGGAGTACCTTTGCACAGTTAAAGCTAGCATACCAGCTGTGCCCATTCCTGGAGAGGTCCAATCTGACCATGGTGACATATGCTTTAGTTGCATCCCAGCTGGTTTACTGTAAGAAATTCTATGTGGGGCTGCCTTTGGACAGTATTCAGAAACTTCAGCAGGTCCAAAATGTGGCAACCAGGTTGTTAACCAGGGTTAGTTACAGGGATCACACCTTCACTGGATGCTGATCCATTTCTGGGTGCAATTCAAAGTGCTCGTTTCAACCTATAATGGCTTGGGACCAAGGACCACATCTTGCTGCATGAGTCTGCCAGGTTTTAAGATCATGAGGGGAGGACTTTTTCTCCATTCCACCACCCTCACAGGTATGTTTGATGGGGACACGGGAGATACCCTCCTCTGTTGCTGCTCCCAGACTTTGAATTCCCTCCCACAGGAGGCCAGACTGGCTCTATCTTTACTGTCCTTCCACAAGCAGGCAAAGACCTTTCTCTTCAGGCAAGCTTTCCCTCACTGACTGGCTAACTAAGAGGGATTTTTTTTAAAGTGGATTGTTGTGCGTTGTTGCTTTTAAATGTGTTTTTAGTATTGATTTTATTTACCTGTTTTAATATAGCATTTAATCCTTTTTAAATATTTTTATATTTATTCTTTTTAGCTTTTAAATAGTCTTTTTAATGACGGACACCACCTTGGGTCCTTTTCAAGGAGAAAGGTGGGGGGATATTTGGAAGGGAAGAAGAAAAGACCCTTTTGCATACTGAAACATTCATGTACACACCTTACCAATAGGCGTGTATTTTAGAGATATTTCTCTGGCACCATTTTTGAAGCATATGTGCCATGGATGGGTCTTCCTGAAAAAGTTGGATCATTCATTCCCTCTGTGCTGCTTCAAGGGTCCATGCGCTCTGGGTCTCCTACTCCAATTGCTACGAACTCTCTGGCCAAGCAGAAGCATTAACAGAGTGAAATTTGTGGACTTTATAGGTGGGAAAGTGCGAGGAAGCCACGTAAAGGAAGATTCCTTGCATGGCAGTTGTGAGGAAAAGTCAATGCAGAAGAGCCCTGTGAGCCAAATGGAAACAGTGGAGTGGAGGAGGAAACAATCTCAGGGCCAGCCCACATTGGGATTTGGTGCAGTTCGGTCCACACTTAAAAGTAGATCACACTTAAGAGCCTTTTAACTATCACTTGAGCGATCCTTCAATTCATACTGGAGATTGTGCCATGGGTCCTCTTCTCTAGTGCTACAAAGCAAGGTTTACCTAGTTTACTCACAAGTAAGGAAACAACAGGGTTTACCTGGTTTACTCACAAGTAAGGAAACAACCACAGCTGAGGATGGCTGCAATATAAGGGGAAAATGTTGGGATGAAGTTTGAGGAGACAGAAGGGAAGTAGACCTCCTTTCCCTCTCCTTTCTCCTTAGCTAGGGCTGTACTGCACTTCCTTGTGGGGCAGGGTCCATGGAGTCAACGTATCTCCCTTCTTTGCCTTTTCTCACAGCCATTGTTCAGTGGGTTTGCAAAGGACTTTCCTTTCCTTTTCCCTTTTGTTAAATAGAGTAAGTGGCCTATTGAAATCACAACACATCAACCAAACATGGTGTTAAAATTTCAGTGCATCAGTTAGGGAATTTCTTTTTTAAGGAGACAAAATAAAGGAGGGGTTTTCTCTGTCCTCTATTTGAACATCACACCCCATCTAATATGTCAAAGGGTTGTTAACTTTACCCACAGCTCCATCTGGTGCCAGCTAACCATCCATACAGGTTGTACAAGACATTAATTAGGATTGTGCTGAATTGTACCAAAAAGAGTACCATTTTTCCGTGTATAAGACGCCCCCATGTATAAGGCACTCCCCACTTTTCTTACTCAAAATTTCTTTCCTTGCAAAAAAGTGGATCCCTCCCCCCTCCTTAAGGTAAAGGTTCCCCTTGACAATTTTTGTCCAGTCGTGCTCAACTCTAGGGGGCGGTGCTCATCCCCATTTCCAAGCCATAGAGCCAGCGTTTTGTCCGAAGACAATCTTCCATGGTCAGATGGCCAGTGCAACTTAGACACGGAACGCTGTTACCTTCCCACCGAGGAGGTCCCTATTTATCTACTTGCATTTGCATGCTTTTGAACCGCTAGGTTGGCAGGAGCCGGGACAAAGTGACGGGAGCTCACTCCAGCACGTGGAATCGATCTTACGACTGCTGGTCTTCTGACCCTGCAGCACAGGCTTCTGCGGTTTAGCCTGCAGCGCCACCCCTCCCCTCCTTACTTCCATGTATAAAATGGCCCTCAATTCTTCCTCTAATTATTTTAGGAAAAAGTGTTGTTTTATACATGAAAAAATACAGTACATCCCCTTGCACTGTGCCAGAAAGGTGAACAACAGCTCTCAAAGGGACAGGATGGATCAATCTAGGCAGAAACACATGTGGATGCCATCATCTGACTCAATCCAAACTGTGCCAACAGCGATCAATATATCAACTTCTACATCAATCTAGATGGGTTCTAAGAAAAAATGGTGGAACTGAATACCAGGTTTGGGCAAACTGAGGACAGCTGTCATGTTGGGGGTGGGGAGTCTGTTCAATGCAAAGCCTGATGGTAATTTCCTGTTCCCACAAAAAGGAAAGGGTGATGAAACTTTGCAAAGTGTGACTGAAGGTTGACTATAGACACAAACTGCAGTCTTACCCATAAAGGTAGCAAAACCTGAAATCTTGGGGGAAAGGAACAGGAAAATGAAGAAACCAATACTGTTTAATTTGGAGAAAGGTATCAGTAAAACATAAACCAATACTGTTTAATTTGGAGAAAGGTGTAAAACACTGTTAAGAATAATTTAGAAAGACCACCTGGAAACTGAAT